CCCGCGCCTGCCGCCCGCCCGGGGCGCGGGCCGCATTGTTGTTCGCGCCGCACCTCCGGCTGCTCTCGCTCCCGTGCACACTCCGCTGCGGACGCGCAGCACGTCCCGGCGCGGACCGCTACCTGGGCGCTGGTCGGGGGTCCAGGCGCCTCCTCCTGCAGCCCGACCCCCTTCTCCGCCCCGCCAGCCCGCCGACGCCCGCAGCCTACCTGGCCGCCCCGGGCTTTTGCAGCTGGAGGCATCTTCCCACCCCGCCCCCAGCCAGAGCCGCTCTTCGCGCATCCCTGGGACTAATCCCTTCCGCCCCCTTCCCAAAACGAGCCCCCCACGCACACCCCGATGCTTGGAACGAGCCTTCTGCCAGGCCTGCCCACCCCTAGCTGGGGGAGGGGGGAGTATGCTGGGGGGCGGGGAGCACGCGTGGTAAGGAGGGAAAGTCTTTGCCTCCCCGGTGCCATCCTGCCTCCCCAACGTGCTAGGCTTCACTCCTGTCCTGATCTCAGTCCTCCACCACCCCCTTTTCTCAGCCTCAGTTGCCTGGTCAGCACGGCCTCTTAGGACCTTTCTGAGCCTCAACTTTGCAGTAAGATGGCAGAAAATGGAAATTCAGAAAGCTGCGAAAAAGTGTTTTTTTTTTTTTTTTTAAATGCAATGAATGAGGAGTAGTTCTTTGACCACCCTCTTGTGTGACCACTCTCTTATTCACCTCTTCTTTCCTTTGGGGTGCCCCCCCCCACCTGGATGCCTGTCTGCTGGAAAAGGCGCGATTGCTTCTCTTCCTCTTCTGTCCAAGATTGGGCTCTAAAGTCTAATATCCTTTTTAGCTCTCTCTCTCTCTCTCTCTCTCTCACACACACACACACACACACACACAGACACACACAACACTTCCTACTGTTCTTGCATTCACCAGTTTCTCTGGACAGTTCTTGCCATAACCCCATTTCACAGACAAAGGCTTAAGAGGGAAAAAGAACAAAACTGTTTACTGTGTTTGCCATTTTAATGCTCTCCATCCCCACACACCCAGTACCCATCCCTGATGCTTGTTGTGCCTGTATCTTGAACCTTCAAAATGAAAAAAACAAATCTCTTGGCTGTCTTGATATAGTTTCTTTATAAATCTGCATTGTTGCTTCTGGTTTATGGCCATGAAAATACCAGCCCCCACCCAAAATGCACCGCAGCCAAGTCGGCTAAAGGCGATGAGTGTTGGAGTCAGTAGGGGGCGCATTCTCTGCACTGGGTAAGGCTGCAGAGGGGGGAAGGGCCCCAGAGCTAGAACAGGATGTGCTTCACAGCGCCTTCTACAGACCATGGGAAAATGGGCCCAGCAAGACACACACTCTTAGTTGGTGAGCTGACAGCAACATGGCGAAGGATTGAGTCAAGAGCAGTGATTTTATATCTTGTAAGGAATCCACTCTGTACTTTGGAAGTTTTCTCTTTTTTACTTTTTCAAAACTGTTGACCCACAGAAAGTCCATTTGTTCTTGACAAATCACCTTGTCACACATCCTTGGGTCATGGTTTGTCTTTCTCTGGAATTCTCCACCTAAAGCTTTTCAATGTGTCAACATATCTTTCCAAGGTCAGCTGATAAAGGGAAAGTTTAAAACCAGAGAATAGCAGGTTTGGGGCATTGTTGTTTAGTCCAAATTTTCATAGTTGAAACCTTTCCAACTCTTTAAAAGTGAAAAATTCTTCTTGAGGGATGTTAGGTTTTCATGGGGTAGTAATTTTCATAAGCATCATAGACTGGTGTCATGATTTGCAAAGCGTTGTTGACAAACATCAAGCCCATGTTCACTTCTTCATTGTCAAACTCAACAGGATTAATTGTAAAATTTCGTTTCCCTCCAACTTTGGACTTAACCAGTAGCCAACAACCAACCTTCACAAATGTTGACACCAGTCTTCTGTGAACACCCACTTTCTTAGGGTGTGGGAATTTCTATAGATTTTACTCCTCTTATTATTTCCATAGGTGTGAGATGCACAATGCGAGACCTAGGCCCCAGCTTTTGCACCATGATGCACAGGGTTGTACTTTTTGTACTGAACTGATAGGTGGCCTAGTGGTTATGCCCTGTACTGCCATTTTGAGGATCTGGACTCCGTTTCCTGCCTTGCTCTTTGGACTACATTGTCAATTCACACCGGTGGGTATATTTATTTGGGAGGGTGGGAATTGCAGCACAGGGAAGCCAGAGATTTTTTTCTGCTTTAGTCACCACCAAAGCCAACATTTCCAAACTTTCAGCCTAGCCACATTCCTCAAGGAACTGTTTAAAGCTGTTTGCACTAGTGGATTCTGACCATGTAAAGAGAATTAAGAAATGACTTAATGGCTTATTTAAGAGAAATTTTAAAGATGCCAACACTGTGATCATTTGAATTATGCACTCTTGCATATTAAGTTTGAATACTCAACTGCTGTTATTTTGATGATCAGTCAAAAATTTAGAAGTTGCTAAACTTCTAAAATCTTAAAGATGTGATGATGAGGGGCTAGGGGTATAGCTCAGGAGTAAGATGCTTGCCCAACATACTTAGGACCCTAGGGTTTCATCCCCAGCACTGCAAAGAAAAGTAGTGAAAAGATCTGATGAAAACATGTGGGGGGATAAACTTTTTCTTACTACCAAACGTTGACAGTGGTTATTGATACTTGTGGTTACTTTAAGAAGTTGTGTCAAGTATCATGCAGATACCTGTGGGAAACTCAGTGAATGAATATATTTGATACATAGTTAACCAGTTGGTGCTTAAAGGTGAATTTTGATAATCACTTCCAAAATAAATTTTGGAGAGTGAAAAATACAGCAGCTTGGTTCAGATATTTCTCTAGAAACTACATTGCTTTTAAAGCTTTTTCATAATTACAGAATCCAGTATTTAATATAAATGGGATTATTTCTTATTTTTAATGCTGTTAGTATTTGTTGAACAGATACGTCTTTGGCGTGTACTTAGTATTTGATATAGTTGAATAAGTTCTTAAAATAAGTAATTTGAAGGCAGTTTGAGTGCATATTTGAAAGTTTGTAAGGGTGCATTTGTGTGACTTAGCAAATTGTAAGATAGTTTGTTAACTGATGTTCTAGTGGCAATACCCATTTTCCCCTTGCAGGAAAACTTCCTGTGAGCCCTTAGCATGTATTCTTAGAGTTTCAAAGATTTCCTAGTTTTGACATTCTCAAAAAATAAATAGATAAATAAAAAGGTGAAACACTTGGGTTTGCTAATTGGAATTTACAGTCAGTAAATTAAGCATTCAGTAAACTACAGCTAAATAGCTTCAGTTTACTAGAGTGTTGTTTACTTGAGCTTTAAGCTGAAATTCCTTCTTTACCTTGACCATTGTTGTAGTATTTCCTAAGATGACCTTACTAGAGGCTGCTATACATTGAAACTAACCAACTTTTTCATTTTGGTTCTTATAGTCCCTGTATGGAAAATATAAGCAGGTGGGCCATGAATCTCAAATAACCCCAGCCCTGCCGATCTAAAAGGTCACTAAATTTTAAACATACTGTGAATTTGCTTTGCTTTTTTTTTTCTCTTTAAACTAGATTGCTGGGGCAGTTCTGATATTATTTTATTCAGGTAAAATTTCACATTGTTGAACAGATTAAATTTCATCAGCCCTTGCAGGTAACCAGTCAGATTTTTTATCACACAAAAATGGCTTTTGGTTTTCATTGATAGATTGGTAGATGGATGAATGAATGTAGTGTTTGATTATTAAAAGTGTAGATATATAAGGTATACTGCATTTGAAATTATTGGCTGCCTTGTAAGATATTTCAAAAATATCTTACTTAAAATAATTTTTAGTACTGAAAGCTGCACTGATGGATAGGTGATAATAAACAAAAATAAGAAAATTAAAATATTCAGAATATGGTGCTTATTTAAATGGTATACACATGCCGTCAACAAATTTAATTGTCAGAGTTGCAGTTTATAAAGTAGACCTATCTTGTTATAAAAGAGAAAGTGCTCACTGATATTTGATACAGAGGGGAAGAGAAAAGAACTGTAGAATTTAATTATACTTTTTGTCTTGAGAATTATATATGAGTAACAAGGCAGTATAGGTTGTAATAGACCCTGGAAGATGGAGTTCATTAATTGAGGGGGTATACATGTGTGTGCATACACATAAAATACAGTTCAGTTTTTTAGAGTTGAAAGTGATAGTCAATAAATAGAAATTACAAGTCCCAAGTATTAGAAATGTAGTTTGGGGATAATAAATTTAAGTATGGGTGAAAAAACAGAATTAAACTTACAGTATTAAACTTAGATTTTGTTTTTTTAATTAGCATGCTTATCTCTTAAGAATAAACATTTTTTTAAATGATGTAAAAGAACCCTAAAAAATTTTCTTTTTAACATTAGAAGCTGTGGTTTTCAGAAAGGTGCCTATAACTGTTGTGCATTAAGCTACTTGTTCAACCTTATCTTCCGAAGGACTTTAAAAGAATGTCATAAAGCCTGTTGTGTCTGACAGAAAGTAAAATAATT